GGGAGGGGTGGTTTTTCGGGGTAAGGGCCCTGGGCGGGGGGGGGGGGGTCCTCATCTCATGGCTCCGAGTGAATGGAAACCCAGTCCATTTCACTGCTGAAAGCAGCCTGTAGGGCTGCTACTGAATCAAGGGGAAATAGTCTAATACATGTTCTGTCACTTCATTTCTCTTTTATCTGTTTAGGTACCTTGCCAGCCTACTGAAACAGTAAAATCTTGTTCTCAGTTCCATTATTTTTCTGTCTGTTACTGTGTTTGATACAGGCTATGCCTCTGAACAGTTGCTGCCCCTAAGGCACTGCAGCATGTGCCTGGGTCTGTCTTGCCACTGCCACATCCATTGTCCTGCATGCTAAATTAGCCTCAGTTCAGACAAAGAGAGAGCAAGTAGCTGCTCTGACAATACACCTCCTCAATATACCCGGATCAGAACAACAATCCAGCATTTGCAGGGCTCATAGCACATCACTTAAATGTCTTTGAATCAAAATCTAGTGGAATGTGTTATTAGAACTAAATCTGGGCTGAGGTTGTTACTTGCTCTATGTTTTTGTCTCTGAAAAAACTAGGCTTAAGGTAGTACAACAGTGGTGTTAGATGGAACTTGTGCTTTCCTCTCTTTAAGAAAGATTTTGGGATTCCCCTTCCAAATAGTTTTCCTTCTGAGCTGCTCCTGCTGAGGTTGCTCCAGAATCTGTCATGCAAGCATGTGCACACTAACCATGCCATTAGACAAATTGATGGGAAGGGACTTATGGAGTCTCTAGTTCAAAGCCTGCTCCAGGTGGTACTATCACCAACACTAGAGCAGGTCATCTGTTGCTTTTCCTACAAGTCTTGAAAAATCTCAAGGATGAAGACTCCAACATTTCTCTGGATAACCTATTCCAACACTGCACCACTGTCTTAGAGGAAAAGCTTTTCCTAGTGTCCCGTCTGAATCACTCAAGCTACCCCTTCTGGCCGTTGCCACGTATTATGTTGTCTGCCATTACCAGCAAGAGTTTGGCTTTTTCATCTTTCTAAATCACTTTCAAGTAGTTGTAGGCTGCTAATAGAGTGCCTCTAAGCCTCCTCTTTGCCATCCAAACATGCCCAGCTCCCTTAGGGCATGCTCTCGGCTCTCTCCATGGATCTCTCGGGATCACAGGCTACTATCTTGGAAGCCCTCCGCTGGACCCTGCCTAGTTCCTCCACGTCCCTCTTGAGCCTGGGAGGTAGGAAACTGCACACAATATTTCCAGGTGTGGCCTTACCAGTGCAGAGTAGAAAGGAATAACTTTCCTCCGTTCCCTGGCCATGCTCTTTCTAATATAGTGCAGTATGCAGTTTGTCTTATTCAGGATGAGAGCACACTGGTGCCCCTGGCAACCTCCAAATCCTTTTTAGTAGGGCTGCCCCTCAGCCAGTATGGATACACAGGATCATTCTGCCCTGTTACAGAATTTCACGCTCCTTCCTGAAATTCACAAGGTCTCTGTTGGCCCAGCCCTCAAATTTCTCAAGGTCCCTTTGGATTGAAGCTCCCTTATTCAGCACATCAATCCACCCCCCCTAAATTAATAGCACTGTAAATTAGATAGTTCCTGTTTCCTGTGGGATGACTTAAGGAGAGAGTTATTCTCACCAAAGATGTAGTCTATCCATTGAGATATATGACTTTGTAGCTATCCAGACAGACACCTAAATGTCTCAGTCTTTCTGTTGTGAACCACACTGAGGCTAAAATACAGGACCAACTTTGAATGCTTTAACTGCAGGAACAAAAGAATAGAACTGTTGGAGCCAAAAGTTGCCAAATACCACAGATACTGAAGCAAAAAAAGAAAACTGTGGATAGCCACTTTGGATGGCAAGTCCCTGAACTTTCTTTGGCAATGAACAGCCAGAGCTGTTCAGGGCACTAGCACTCATGTTACGAAATGAAAAAGGTTTTGTTTGGTTTTCTATGAATATAGACATTAACTTCTGTTGTCCTGTTTGCTTTAGGTTAATGTTTCCATAGTGTACAGGTGTTAATGTGAGTTGTGAGTGTCTGCTGTCTGTCTCTAGCCTTGTAAAGAACAGAGTCTGGTGCTGCAAATATTAGCCCAGGCAGAGAAGTATTTGCACAGCCTTCCTCTATGCTGCCTCCTGCAGTAGTACTCTTGTTAGTACGCCTTACAAATGGCCCAGGCTCAGCTGTCTTGAGTCTCAGCCACCTACTGCTCACTGATGAGCAGAGGCCGCATTTGCTCAGTAACAAGCTCTGGTTTTGACTCAGAAATGGTTGTAGTTATCAAATCCTATAAAATGCAGCAAAAGTGCCAATATGCTATAATCTTCAGAAGACGAGTACTATGCTAAATAAAATAAGGTACAACTAAGTCATTTAACACATATGGCAAACAAAATGCTTGTTTGGTCAAACTCATTCTTCACTGGCTGGGACAGCCCCAGATGTAGAGAAGAAATGACTGGTACATCACTGAAATTGCTGCATGCTTTAATACAGTGGTATACAGTCATTTCAGAGGGAGACTAAAGATTTGTGCTCTCATTTCGTCCAAACGAACTTCCCGGTGTCCATTGCTGTTGAGCTGAACAGAAGAGGAAAGCGAAACGATATCCTCCTGCAGATTTTGTGGGGAATCTTTCTGCCACTGCAGAGAGGAGCAACTAATGAGAAAACAGCACTGGCATGTTGAATGGATTTGGTTCACAGAGGAGCCTGTCTGCACCTCACACACAGTCTAAAATAAGATGTAACATAGATATGGACTGCCATGTGTCCAAACCTGCTGAATGAGTTCTTACTATAATGGGGGACAAAGTTTCATGCACTATATCAAGTCCTGCGTAGCCTGGAAGCAATTGGAGGAAGATGAACTGTGACAGCTCCAATGAACTTCAAGAACAACGCAAAGGCCTGGCTGGAATTTTCTTGGTAAAAGCCTGGAGTGGCATAGAAACTGAGCTGTACTCACTGTTTAGTGTCCTATTAACCAGACATCCATCTGGGCCACCTCGTTGACCCCAAAGAATGCCATCACTGTCAGTAGGATCCCCATGAAGATTCTTGTTGCCACAGCAAGTCCAGTGGAAGTTCTTTGTACATGCTGTTGTCTCGGCTTCTTGTGAGGTGTGGATCTTTTTGATGAACTGTTCAGTAGGGAAGTAAAAGGTAGGTAGACTGTATGTCGGAGTTGCAAATTTAATCCTCATAATGGTCAACAACATTGGAATTGTCAGCCATCCTCTTAACTTTGCACATGAAGGCATTTGACGGCCTTAGGCTGAAAGTGGATCAGCATCATCCTTTCCTTTTTGAGTCCAAAAACACACAAAGCAAAGCCCCTTCTCCCCAAGGTGAGACAGACCAGCCCTTATTTATCTTCCCCCACCAAGCAACATAATGTGTAATGGGACAGAGGACTCTGAAAAAGCAAGGGGCAAGAGCTTCGGAAAACAGAAAGGTTTCAATATCAATAGCCAAGAGCCAACTGTCAAAGTTGCACTAGCCAGTGATGGAAGCCCAGACAGGATTGGAATTAACTAATCTGTCTACGAAAGGATGTGAAAGTGAAGAAAAATGAGAGATTGAATCCAGAAGTGGAAGTCCAAGATTGTTAGCCACATTTTTGGAAGTGCTTCTTGTAGGAAGAGGAAAACAAATGCAGTATTAAAGACAGTATAAGGGAAAAAGTCTCTAGGTTTGAGTGCCTGCAGTGCACACACACTTACATGTAGCACAGGGACAAGTGGTATTAAGGCTAGGAAGATGAACTGCTGGTTCGAAGGGTTAGTAATCAAATATTCTCCTTTACTCCAAAGCTCGGATATGTAATGATATGATGTGTATGCTAATGGAGTATCTACTGCCCTGGAGTGAATAACAACCCAGCACTTCAGAGAAGAGGACTAGGATTCAGAATTTGTGGTTTTACAGTCAACTCTACTATCAGAGGTTCACTGAATGACCTTGGACCAGTCATCGCTCTGCGTCCCCATTTAGCCAACTGTAAAACAAAGAGCATATTGATCTCTGAGTGGTAATGTAACACTTAATTAATTTTATTAACCCCTTTTACTATGGAGCTGTGGACATAAAAAGAGTTAACTTTATGCTAATGAATTTATTCTAATAGCTGCTATCCAAAATATCAGGAGAGTCATCTCCTGATGTACTTCCCACCAGTAAGTCAGCTGCCTGATAGAAAAAAGTAGCAGATATGCTCTGGGTTCATGTCCGTACAGAGAATAAATTTATTTTTACTGGAGTGCCTTGGGAGGCCTTGTACATGAGGTAAGGTGCTACTGTTTTCCATTAGAGGCTGTTGGATTGTAAATTGCATTACAAGGACTTGAGGATCCAGAATCATGAATAATTAAACAAAAATGAGAAGAAAACTAAGGCAGTAGCAGGAGGCGTAAAGGGGAGGAATTGTACAACATTGCACTGGTTGTGCTGCTTGTAGTGTACAGGGGTGAAAAGATAGCTCCTATGACTGCTATCAAAGCAGTTAACTCTCTTTGGCTTATGATTCTCAGCAGCAACAGTTAAAACCACATAACCTCCCCGAGGATGAAATAATTATGAAACAGGCAAACCTGATACCTGGTCAGCTTGCATATGGCTGTCCTCTTCAGTCTCAATGTACATTGAGCAGGGAAGCATTTACCTGAGAGAATAAAAGCAGAGGAAGATGGTTTGCTCCAGGAGTCAAAGAAGAACAAGTGCTGTCTTCATGGGATTGGGGTTCAGTAGAAAGGAACTGTGCAGCCAGCTCTGTAGTAATGCTGGCTCTGGTTCTGTGAGATAACTGGTTGCCTGCTTGACCAGGACAGACTACAGAACGCTTTCCCCAGCTCTGCAGAAAGGACAGCCCATCACACAAATATGTGCATAGAGGGTTCCCTCCAACAGCAAGTTGCTCAGGAGCAAACTGCTTACGCTCTAAGGAAAGGAAGATGAACATGACCACCTGGCTCTGCACTCAAAGAATCTGCATGCAAACTGATTTCCTTTATGAGTTTAGACAAGTCTGTGCTTCAAGGTGACATCTCTACATGGATAACAGTTTGAATGAGCTGGTGTATAAGCGAGCATGTTTAAATAACTAAGTGATGATATAGTGCCCAGATATGCAAAACATTGGCAAAGCTCTGACAAGAATTTCCTTACTATGCTCCATAGTCATGCATCTGTTTCGTTGCAGGACTTATTGACATCAGTAAGCCCAAATCAGCTAGGACCTATTTGAACCTGCAAAGAGCAACAAAGAGAAGGTAAACCATCGAACTGAAGCTAAAAGCTGAGGAAATCAGATCACAGTTGATCACAGTTTCTGCAGCTGCTTGAGTAGGTCAAAGGCCTGAACCTTGCAGGGAATTAGAGAAACTGATCCCTGAGATAGTCCACATTAAAGTGGTAGATGACCCCCACAGGTCAGAGTTGGCCTATACAATTTCAAATGGAAAGAGTGATGAAAACTCTTGTCATAAGCGGCTGGTAATTATCCAACTCTCTGAGATCTGTAATGAGGTTAAAGTGCTGCCTACAGAGAGTGTGTGTATGTGCATGGGGGTGGGTGTGTGTGTTGGGGAGGGGGGAAATAAACAAATAATATTGTATGCCACTGGCTCCTAGGCAAAGATACGTAGAAGTTTTCAAAAGCTGAAA